ATATTAAACATATGAAAAATAGAGCCACTTCAATCAAATTTAACCGTATCTTTACGAAGAAATGTTGAAGGCGCAAACAGAAAACGGTGAAGAAGCTAAAGGTACAAAATATTGCTGCTTGAAAGGGTATAAGGGTGAACGAGAGTGTATTTAAAACTTAAATAGCGAACAGGTTAGCCAGAGCGTAATTTCGCTTTTGAGTGCGCAAGTTATTATTTCTACGAGCTGTTGGAACTTTGAATCTCGGCTTCGTTTTCTTGCTGCCGAAGTTTAATATCATGTCGGTGTAGGCTTCTGAGTCAACCTGCGACGTTAAATCAATTTGTGTAATCTTGAATAACTAGCTTATCTTTAAATTTAGTTTAGTTTAACATTGTTTTTAGTTTTATCGCCACATATGGATGGTGGATTTGTAAGCACAAAGATTGTGCCACCTGTAAGTAATTCAGTTCAATAAAAGAGTCTTTTATACCCTTCTCCTGTTGTATTCTTCTACTATTTAGCGATAAGTTTACGACAAAAACTTTCAAGTAGGTCTAGAAGCAATTTATGCTAGCAAAGAAGACTAGACATTACGAGGAAAGTTTCTGTGAATGCCTGTCCCTAAAGCAAAAATTTTTTTTCAAATATTTTGGGAACCGATTTATTTATGATTAAAGACTTTCGTGAATTAAAGCTTCGCCGTATACACTGTATCTATAAAAGTACTTATGGGACCTTTATTTTCATGTGATATAGACGTAGTGTATTTCCAATTAGGAAAGTGTTTGACTATCGCACTGATCGTAGTATTTATTTCAAAATTTGGTATTTTTGGCATATTTTTCTGCTTGTCTTCAGTGTCCGGTTAAAAAACATAAAACGACTGTATTTATTTTTTTTCTTCAAATAACTTTTATTTTTAATTTATGCAGATAAAATTACAAAATGATTATGTGCCAAGAACAAAGCCACTTATCATTAAAAGAAATTTTACATGCCAAGAAAATGCAAATATTTAGCTCCTCAATAAGAAACATCGACGCAGTTAATTAAAAATGAAGACTGGTTACTAATAAGGAAACTGATATGCGGAGGCTTTTAGAATGTAGTTAGAGGTCTCATAATCAAAGATAAATTAAAACAGGGTTTAGAAATATTATAAGTTTTTTGGGTGCTACATATATTTCATATTTATGCCAGTATGTGCTTTATGTAGTGTTCTAGGTTCTTATTTCCTGTCTTATCAAAAATTTTGTTAATTGGTCAGCGTCTTTTCTCAATTAATTATATTATGGAAACTTTCGTTGCCTTAATAGTTGATAGAGTATAATTGTCACTTCATAAAAGTTTGGTGCAAAAGGTGGCTCAAAAGCTTCATGAAGTAAAATATTATATTAATGTAGCTAATATTAAAGAAAGTAATTTAGTAACGAAATGATAGGTTTAACCATTCGATTACATTTTTTTTCTTTTAAAGAAGGGAATTTTACCAATTTTTGAATCATTTATCGCCTCCTTTGTGGAAATCATTCATAGTAATTATAAAAACCGTGCTGAAAGCAAATGTATTCTCCTGCTACACGGGAAAACTTTATCATTGCTTCACTAATTTCAAAAGTTCGAGAAAACTTCAGATAGCATAACTCGTATTTTTAATTCGCGTTGTCTTACTTACTGGCATAGTCATATTAAAAAAATAAAGTTCTGCTGGAATAATGTAAATCAGCGTCAGAATATTATTTGTAACATCATTAATAAGAAAAGTTCTATAGAGATTTGTGTTGCTTAATATTTTAAATGTAGTAATTCTATAGAGATTATAGAATTCTTACATTTAAAAATATTAAGAATTAATATTAAATATTCTGTAGGTAATATAAAAATTATATAGGCATTTATGTTGCTCAAATATTTTTACTTCCTTATACTAAGTAAAGAAAGTATTGTAATCTCGAAAAAAATTAGGTTATCAGATTTGGATGAAAATACTCATTTTAACCATTTCCGACTCTATTTTGGCTATTTTTGCATGACGTCTGTACGTACGGACAGACTAAAGAACTCTTTATTCTGAAATGGATTGTAAAAGGGATTCAAAACGGAGTCAAAATAGATATTTTCGTACGTACGCATGTGTTTGGCATAACGCAAAAACGATTAGTCGTAGAACGTTAAACTTTCTATATATGGAACTGTTGTAAAATCTAATTGTGCATCTCCCGTTTTTACTGTAATCGGCGATACCAAAGTATACATATGGTATATACCCACCTACCTTTACCCGGCTTAAGAAGTCCTTCCTCAGACTTTATTTTCGCAATCGTTCGTAGCAGTCCTATAATTAACGATTACGAAAGTGCTTCACTTGATGAAAATATTCAAGTAATTTCAAATAAAAAAAATTGACAAATCATGAAAGACAATTTTTAATGCAGTTTCCTGGTTCCTAAACTTATTCCATTACATTTGCAGAAGTTTTATATTCGTTTTGAAAAACTAAAATGTTTGACCCCTTATAACAAAATTGAAGGGATATCTAATTTCAAAATTTGCAATTTTTTATATCATTTTCAACTTGCTTTGAGGAATAAGTTCATTAAGTTAGAATATTTTGAGGAAATAAATTTAAATGAAGTGCAGCAATAAATGTGTATAATAGGCCTTACAAGGAAGTCACGCGGTGTCCACATTAGATTGTTTTCTCTATGTCTACATGAAAGAAGATAAAAAGCGAAGTAAAAGTTCAGTTCACATATTTTGTTTCTCCGATTTTAAAAGATTACTTTATATCATTCAGTATAACAATATTTTCTGCAAAAATTAAATCAAAGTCATAAAAATATATTTTTCCGAATGTCTGCATGTACATTTCTTCCCTTTTGCAGCATTAACAAATATGTGGCTAACGTATGTTTGTTGCTGTGTTTAACTTTTTATACACACGCAATAACTCTATAAGCTACATATCAATGTATATGTTAACTACTTCGAGAAAATTCCTTAAATTTGAATTATAGTTTATAAAAAATAAATATTTTAATTGTATCTCAATCCAATTTATCATATTTCAAGTCGTTGGCCTGTTATTTGTGATTCTAGTAACACGATATCGCTCAGATATGAAAATATGATTAAGGGGAAAAATTAAGATTTATACTTTAAGTGCTAACTGTTTTCAGGTTATTAGCTATAGTTTTGTATTGAAATAGTTTATTTATACTGTAAAGTATTTTGGTTATTATATTATTTTGAGATCCCGTATTTATTTTACATATTTTGGAGAACATCAAATCGAATTTTTAAGATTAAAATTTAGCTCACATTATGAAATTCTGACAAATCCAACAATCAATTCTGGCGATATTTACAAATGGGTTATTATTTTTATCACCTGCTACTTATTCTTGTGTTAAATATTATAATTATTAGATAAACACGTGAGTACTATTAAATCCGAAATTTTATTTAGTTCACACATAAAAAAACGAAATATAGCAGATGCCTTTTCTTCTAATTTACTTATTGGAAAGCTGACCTTGATATTTACTCTAAACACAAACAGAATACAAATTATTCTGATAAAATTATAAGAAAAAACATACTTGAAACAATGAGAATTCATGATATTTTGTTATAGTACACTTTCATGAGCAAAGTAATTTAATTTCCAAAGTTGATATAGGTTGCTTACAACAAAGCGCTTCAGTCGCCTCCCAAAAGCTGCTTTATCACGACAGCTTAACCATTATTTTAATTAATACAATCGAAATATCAAACTAATGTATCATACAAATTTAGCAGAATTATAAGACTACTTTTAGTCAGTTATTTTATTTCAAAATTTCATAATTTTATACTTCGGTTGTTACTAATAATTACCAAATGAAAAGTCCAGTCTGTTGCTTATTAGCGGAGGTAGCTACTATGTTCATGATTCCGGTCTTAAATGCCCGCAAGGCTTGTATGTTGTGATTATTTTATTTTTGAAGAGGTGGGAAGCAGAAAACTATCGAGAGAACCTTTTTTGACGATCTCACATCTTTATTTCTCTGCTAGCAGATCGTGTACCATCTATTGAACATTTGGAGCATTTTTTAATGTTTCGCTTTGCTTACATATCCATATTCAGTTGATCACTTCCGTAACCGGCTATGAAAATCTGAATGTTAACAAGTGGATCAATCAAACAACCAGAAGACAAACTCTCGTTGCTGCAGAAAACTATCGAAAACCATTGCGTGAGAAACTCTCGATTAGAACTGAAGTCGTACATTGAATTTTATCATATTTTAGACATAAAATCAGTATTTATAGAGAATTTTCATTGGATGCAATAAAACGAGTTTCATAATCAGCCTTATTCAAAGTTATAAAGACTGGATGGCCGTAGATTTGAAATTCTCATAGGCTTGTAGACAATGACAGATGAATGACCTTTCCAAAATCTTGTCCATGGTTTTGTTTAGATGTTTACATGGTAAAACAAAAAGGATTCTCCAAAAGTAAGACAAAATTGATTTCCCTAGCTATACTGAATTTCAAATTTATGATCAGTATTATTAAATGAATGTGAAAAATCGTATGATTGCCCTGACATTTTTCGTATTTTGATATAATGCACAAGTGCTTCTGTGACAGGATTAAATGAATTAGGGCAGAATATACAAAACCCACTTTTACATCTTGCAGCTAAGAAACTGATAAAATAATGGCGTTTGCCCTATAGCCTAAATTTAATTGTTTAAATTATTATATTATCAAGTAGTAGTGCTGACCAATTTTTTCTTTGGTTTTAGTTTTAAAACTTTATTTTTTGTGTGTGTGAACTATTTTTTTATAGTCTTTGGATCCAAGACAGTTTTCTGATAAAAATAGCTAAGTGTTAATATTATTATTGATAATTTGGAAGATTTTGTTCTTTTTCAAAAGAAAAAGTAATTTATCGCAGTGATTGCGTTATTTTTGTTGCACGCTTTGTTAGAATAATTATATAAATTAATACACTTTTTCTTTTTCAGATTAATTAAGACAGTATGGCTCATTAGAACTGACTCATGAAGTTCGCAAAAGTTTTCCTTCTGCAAATCGCAGCCTGCTTTCTGTGTCCGTGTTCCGTTTATGGTTATAATTATAACGAGATTCGTAAATGGAACGCTTCCTGTTCCCCGAAAGACACGTGTTCTGTGCCCCGAGATCTTGATGATTCTGACCATCATAACTGTGACTGTAGCAGCTTGTGTGTCCTTTACGACACTTGCTGCATAGATTCTCCTTTCTTGAATATCAGCAGCAAGTATGAGAGATCTGCTTCCTGTAGATCTGCAGGTCTGTCGGAGAAAAGTGTATTTATGATTGATGTCTGTTCCTCTTCTTACAAAGGACCTGTAGCTATTCGCAGACGCTGTGAGCACAATGCGAAGAACTGGAGTGATCCTTTCAACAATGTTCCAGTAACAAATCCTTCGTCATTCAAAACCTACAAGTCTCTCTTCTGTGCTATCTGCAATGGAGAAAATCCTAAGGAACTCACAATGTGGCAAGTCGTCATGGATTGCTCATCACTCAACGATTACATGAAAGTGTGCAATGAAAACAGAGATTTTGTCCTCAATAATATGATGTACATTCGTGAAAAAGGTTTGTGGGGACTATGGTCTTGGGATTCCAAAACTGACTGGAAATTCAGATATCTCCACCTGAGTTATGAAATTCCACCCTCTTTGAGAAACGTCGTCAAAGAATGCCGTCCAAATCTAATTTCAGATTGTGCTCCCAACTGGAGAGATCAAAAAACAAAGAAATTGTGCAACCGCTACATGGGAGCCATATACTTCCCAGAGGCTGCTTACCGCAATGTGCATTGCGCCGTCTGTAACTACCAGACAAATATGGCAAACATGTCTTGCCATGATACAGTTATTCCGGCATTCAAAAGTCCGACCATGTCTTTCGGAATCCTACTAGATATTAACTTTAGAGATGGAGACAAAGTTGGAACTGTTGAGAAAAAATGCGAAGAGAATCAGGTTTATGATCCGTTTTCTAAAAAGTGCCGCACGCTTGAATGCCCATTGCCTGGATTCACTTTGAAAAATGGTAAATGTGTTCAAGAATGACCTGTGCAATGTTTTGTTTAAAGCTGGTGATCTCAAAAACTCGTATTGAAGTGTTCAGAAAACTGTTTCGTATTGAAACTGTGCGTAAATTTCAAAAGAAATACCTAAAATTATGCAGTATGCGAAAATATTCTTCCTGTGTGTCTGACATTAACATAAACTGTATAGAGACATTCATTAGGAAAGTAAATGGTAGAATAGAGATTATCATTTTAGAAACACTTCAAAGATTTGGTAGGTCTCTAAAAACTTTTTGAACCAGCTTCTAAGGTATTAACTTGTACTAATGGTTTATATAATTTTCAAAACCTTTTTCTACCAGTGTGATGAATAACACCCTTCTGTGATGTACATTAGTTTAGTTTTTTTTTTTTTTTTTAATTAACAAAAATCTGTGTTTACTATATCTGATACCTTCTTCGGAAATAAATTCAATGTATTTATTGTTACTTATTGATTTTATTTCAAAATTTTTAGAGGTAAATTTATTTATTGATTTTATTTTGGAATATTTCAGTATCTTCTTGCTTTGTGAACACAGATCAGTGCCTTTAAAGACTAAATCTGGTATTTGGTCTTGCATATGGTATAACCATATTGGCTTTAGTAAGCTTAATTCCCGATACCTTGCTATTATTGGTGTGACAATGTCAAACTAGTTTCCTCAAATTGCACGAAAGTTTCATACAATCTTGTCTTAAAAGCTCGTCCTTTTCTTATAAAATAAAGTCTTTGCAGCTTCGTTAATGATATTTTAATATCAAAACAAAATACTTAAAAACTCATTTTAAATTACAGTTTTAATAAAATTTATCAATGAGCTATCGTAACACTCTGAATACTATGTGACTAAAAATAAAATCCTGATGCTTCCATAATATTAGGATATTAGCAGAATTAAAAGAATATTGTAGAATTGAATAAGGATGTCTATATTCGACTACTTTAGATTGCTCTTCGATAATTTCTATTTAAAACCTGCCGTTGTTAGTAAATGCACGATTTTTATTTTTGGTGATTTAATGATATATGACCAAGAATATTATGATTACTAAAAAAATATTATTTCATGCATTTTATTTAAACCAGAAGTGTTTTTTTTTTTTTTTTTTTTTTTTGTGTGTGTGTGTGTGTGTGTTTTGTGTGTGCGTGTGGGTGGGTTGTATGTTATTTTATACTTAGCAGTTTACAGAATACGAAAAGGAAAAAAAGAAAGAAAGAAAAATCTCTGCATCTTAATGTAAGAAAACTATTGTATCTGATATATAAGATTATATTCAATTTATTTAAATTTTTGTTTGACTTAGAAATCCGATCTCATGATAACTTGAAATCAGTAATCTACTAGGAATTAGACATTAAATACTTTGATTTAAAAATTCTCGTCTAGCAACTGCATGATAGCTAAAAGTCTTGAACACCGAAAACACCCACCAAAATTCGACAAATTTTGTTCGAAATTCCGTGAAAGCTTTAGTTGCGAAAACTGTTTTTTGGCCTACAGATTCAAATGTCAGAAGGAAAAGTATTCCAAATGAATAGCTTCACCAGCAAGAATTTGTGAAAGAAATCCAAGATTAAATTAAAAAAGTATTTATATTTAATTTTGAAAAAAATTCAATAAATATAGTACTGTCATCCCCAAAATGTATTTTAAGAATATCAAGTTGCTAGAAAGAAAGGAGGCAAAAATTTATTTCGAGATTAGACCAAAACAAATACATAAATAAAAAGGCAACTAAGTAACAGAGAAGCAAAGCTAAATAAAATCAGAAAAAAACATTCTTTTTTTAGTAATATTGGGGGAAATTCAAAATTAGAAAAACTCCAAAGTGCTTGAACAGAGTTCATAATGATAGAAATCCACCAAGGAATATAACTTTTCCCACGAATTCTCTACTTGTCTAATGATCTCAGTTAGTAATGCTGTTATCAAAAGGATATTATTACTCGACCCTTATGAAAGCAAAAAAGAAAAGTTAATAGACCTGAATCTTTGTGATGCTATTTATGAAATTCCTAAGAGAATTACAACTTTCAAAGAACTACTTTCCATCGTAATACTTTAAGATATGATTGAGACTAACACGATACTCTGCTGCTCTTAATAATGTATCTTGTTAAATTTCATGAAATAATAGGATAAAAAGTTTATTTAAAATTGCTTTTCAATTTTTTAGGCCTTTTTACTAATACTTTTACAAAAACTTTATAATCAAGATTTCAATATGCTTGAATATGCAATATCTTGCTTGAAGTCTTGGCAGTTTCAATAATTGAGAAATGAAATTTAGAACAATACTGATATTTAGCTGATAGTTCCTGCAAAAAGATTTAAGAAATGCACGATGATGGTAAGAATATGAGACATGTATTAAAGAAAATGATTCCTCTTAAAACAGAATAAACATTACGTATTTGCAATGTAAGGAACTTCCTTCTTTCGAAGCAGAATAAAGCTATTTCTCAAAAGATGAAGAATTTTTATCAATCTTTATTCACAGATAATTTGCACTAAAAATGGTAGGTTTCTTCTTCCCTCCCCCCTCTCAAAAAAAAAAAAAAAAAAAAAAAAAAAAGATGACGGGCACAAGCGGTCAATACTCTTTCCAGAAGTTAGCAAACTTTGACATAAAAAACGAGCTAGTTGTTTTTCTGCTTAAGAGCAGTTAAAAAGAGATATAGATATCAGTGTGAATTACAGTTTTTTTCTTTTCCTATTTACTTGTTAAACCACGTTATTTAGTGAATTAATTGTGTTTTGGACTCTAGTTACGTTTTTATTGGAAAAAATAAACCAGAAATTTTTATTAATAGATGCAAGGTCAACATTCTTATCAACTTTATAAAGAGTTTACAAACCACAAATACATAACACAATCATTAACTACAATTTTTATTTGCGAAACGTGAAGATTTGCAAAATATATGTGTTAGCTCTGAAGGCTTGTGTTCACATTGAAGGAGTATTGTGTACACGTATGAGAAGTTCTTTAATCTCAGTGCAAAAACTATGAGAAGCATTATGCTGAGCCAAACTGAAGACAGACCCCCCCTTAGGTAGGCATAGTATAAGGTGAGATACGGTTCTGAGTTTCAGACTGAGAAGGCATACTCAAAGTTTGCATTATATATACAGGATAACCCAGAATAAAATCGACAAATGTCAGAATCATATTCTAATATCGAAGATATGAAAAACACGTAGCCTATTATGGAACAGCGGGAAATGCGTAATTACTTGTTACGGGACATTTCATAAAGCAGGTTTGTGCCTTTACATCTAGGCTGCTAATGTTCAAAGTCTAGCAATTCGTAAGGTAAGCGTTTCCTGCAACACAGAAATCATGCTCGAGTCTGGCGATTTTATTTTGGGACATCCTACAGGAGAGGCATATAAAGCAAATTTTCAAACTATTCATAATTCGAAATTAGTGAAAGAAAAAGCTCTAGAAAATGGTTCATAACTACAAATTATGACAGATTAAACAAGAAATATAATAAAACTGATGCATATATTGATGCATATTTTTAATCAAATAATAATTTCATCAGAGCTTAAATTGCGCCGGAGCCCACCGGGCTTCTCAGTTTTCGAGATAAATTATAATTTCAGCCGGAGCGCACTGCAGCCCTAAATAAAAGGGCTCCGGCTTCTTTTATGTAAGTCAACTCCAATTTTAGCACATAAATTTTGTTTTAATAGTAAAACATGCCTTAAAAATCAATCCTAACTTCTGAATGCAGGCCTGTCTTTCCCTCGCACTCAAGCCTTGAACAGAGGTTGAGACTTGGAAAGAAAAGCGCCCCCCCCCAATCATATGTCAAAGGCTTATTCTCCAGGATGTGCAAAGAATTTATGAGAACGGATAAATTTTCTATTGCTCAAAGAACTAAAAGTGATATTCTGGTCGTGCACGTTGCACAACTGTGACTTCAGAGCTCCTATAGACTTTCTAAATGATGTAACCAAAAGGGTAGACCACTCCTGTCATTTGTACAGAAAAGTTTTACGTTTATTCTCACGTTGTATTCAAGTAAAGTATTCGGAGATAATTTCTGCTTGACGTCTAGAATTATATCGACAGGGCATCACGATCAGAAAGTCTTGAACTCTTCTCTCTTATTTCCTTTCCAAGCTACACTTTTCCGTTTTTTCCACATCCTCATACTGTTTCTGGAATTCTCACTATTCTCCTTAGTGTAGCTTTAATCGTTTGATCTTTTTTCCTTGGTGTGCTCGAAAAAAGAGTGTCATCCCTTAGAATAGTTCATTATACGTACAATCAGGACTCAGACGGATATCGTCTGAGCTGCTTCTTAGCACCTAAGTGAAACTGTAATTCCAGCCAATGCCACAAATAAAACAAGGTCCGATCCTTGTTTTTTCTATTTAACTATTTAAAATTAATTTAATAATTTATTAGATTTTTCTTTATCTTTTAAACAATTTTTAAACTTAAATTTATTAGTATTTATTAAATTTAATTAAATTAATTAGATGTAATTAATTAAATTAATTAAGTAAAGTATTAATTATTACTATTAGTTTTAATTTATTATTTAATTATTTTAATTTTTAGCTTTTTGTTTTCTTTTCTTCCTCACAGTCTTCCATAGGGCTCAGGCACTTCTAATTTTAGATATCAAACCCTGAATTTCATTTGCATGGATGGTGTAGGTTCCTTCAAAGCCATGCTAAAATAAAATACTAAACAAACGCATTTAGTTCTGATTTATTTATTGGGGAAGATATGTCTTTTTTTCTTAGTTAATGGAGCAAAGGATTTTGTGAGCATTTCATGAATTTTATGCAAATAGCAAAAATAATTCTGAATGTTTGCCGTCTCTTAATTGAACTTCCACTGATTCCGTTATGATGAATGCTTGCAGTGATGCAGAGAAAGAATTTCCTAACAGCTACGACGGCAATGCGTCGTTTTCAAAGTGACGTTTCAGTTTAGGGGCACGTTTCCTCATATGTAAGCAGACTGACAACAGAAGCGTTGAAATGTGCATATAGAGTAAATCCGTGGTCTGCTACATGATCAGCCATTATATCGGAAACTTATTATCCTCAACAGTTGTAACTGACACCTTCATTCAGAGAAATTATGTTCAAATGGTCGATTCTGGCCTGCTTATCTGCTGTTCCTGGAGACATCAAATAATTTCATTATACAGCAAAATAATGTATTACCACATATCGTGGGGACCTCAGGTCGATTTTTAGCTTGTTCATACCATTCCTTTGATGGAGAGTCTAATAAACAATTTTCATTCATCCCATGCGATAAATGGGATGAATAAGAAACTTTTTTTTTGTTCAACTCGTTCATCTGATCTGTACCTACAGAACGTGTATGAAACGTATTGTATTGATACGCTATTGCCGACTTACGTGCAGCAACCGAAGAAATATCGACTTAACTTTGCTACTTCATGTACT